GAGAATCGATTGGAAAACCCTCAAATATCAAGGCCTGGAGATGTGTTTAGTTATCATCCAACGGCTCAGAGCAGATGTAGTATTTCAACTTGATCTTAGACTGGATATTGGGCCTGGTTTCACTGGGCCAACTTCAGCAACTAGTTATATATTGGAATGGGCCGAAGGCCAATCATCATTGCCTTTAAGTGGACTGGATTATGGCATCACAGCCCACAAGAAAGTAGTTAATTGTTTGGATGCATACGACAATTTTTTGATATGTAGGAGCCTCTCTTTTAACAATCCATATAACCTGTCAATCCCCAAAGTTATTCTCCCTTGCTGTATTATGTTTAACATTCACAGAATCTGGGTGACATGATCATTTTATCAAACCTTTAGTGAATTAGCACACTGTAAGACTAACCCACATTTTCATACTTGTGATACTTTTCTATTTATAATGTCGAGAAATTACCATTATCTCTTTTGAGGTTTGGCCTAATTGTAGGGACCTTTCCCGAGGTTTAGGAAATAAGAGTAACCTCTTACAACCCTCAATATCAGTTTTTGTTAAGTCTTTATTTTCTTTTAAAGAATATGTTGTAAGTCAAAAGACAATTGTGATTTTCTTCTGATCACGCTCATTCCGCTCCTACTTTCTCAATCATGAGTGTTTATCCTTAATTAGAGACAACATTGATATTACAATTATGAAATGATGGTAGAGTTATGAATTTGATTAATGTTCTATTTTATTGCATAGCTTGAGGAAAGCAATTATTTTAATCAAATTAAATGATTATAGTGTCTGATTTTGAGCTCCTTTGTTACTTGAAAAACTTTTTGCGGTTTCATAAACGTCTTTACGGTCTCGACTTTCCCCTCATTTGTGCACATGTTAGTCTATCCTGTCCACGATCCAATAGAGTTAAGTGCATTTTCTATTTAGACTTATATAACAATGTATAATACATGATGTTTGATCTTGCCAACTTGTTCGAAGCATTAATGTAAACATAGTAAGATTTAGGAACTATTATTGTATCAGTATATTGTTGAAGTTCTAATGAATGCATTATAGCACGATTAGTCTTGTGAAGGAAGGTCAACTTGTGAATTTTTTGCATTCCATTTTCATATCCAAATTCTAATTTCTATTGGTAACAGGTTCTAGTTGAACCTGGAACACCACAAGGATCAAAAATTGCCGTATGCATCCGAACAGTTAACTTGAAAGAAACTTTGTCATTTCACTGTTGGTATATTTATGCATTATTTGTTTGATTTGTAGGAAAATATGTTGAGATATTTTAAACGAATATCTCAAAATTATAGGGTTTAGTTGGAGATCAATTGATGAATGATAGTTTAGTTGTGTACGTTGAAAA